TATTACTGCCCTATTAGCTCAGAAATATTTCAGGAATCGGGCAATTCACATTCAGAACTTGTTACAATCACCGAAAATTATATTTTTTAATATTTATGTATAAAATTTGATAAATAAAACTTTTTCTATTGAATAGATTTTAACTTTGAAGTATTTAAAAAAAAATGTGTGGAAGAATTACTACAAATGCATTTTCTATATTTTTTTTAATTCACTGTTGTAGCTTTTTATTCAAGATAGAATAAACTATTATTATTATTCATCTATGCATCATAAAGTTAAGAAGGAGATAATTGTAAGGCTTTATGAAGCAGATATATGTGAATAACAAATAGATTTTGTTATCCAAGAGAAATTTTTCATTATTTGTTATCATTTCACAGAAGAAAAGAGTGCTTTAAAACTGAAAAATTAACTTTGAAATTAAATATCTGTGAAGTTTCCACATTTGATTTAACTTTTGCATTAGGTAGGCCAAAGTGAACGTGTCACAACCTTTCAGAGTTACATTCAAAATTTAAACTACTTTATTATTAATATATACAAATAAAATTGGCATCAAAATGTGGTTACTAAATCAAATTTTAATATTATATAAGTTTTAAGCTCATAATTTTATAAGGACATATTTAAAAACCTCAATCTCCCCTAGTATGAGAACTGTGACATTTGTTACCTTTGTATTCCATTTTCTTTAATTTATTTAACACCTCTCAGAGAATTACTTGTTATAATATAGTTATTACTGATGCAAAACATAATTTGTATAGCCTTCAATCATACTTGGTTTCAGAACCATAAACTGGAAAATGAGACCTCCTCCTGTTTTTCACAAATTCCTAGTAGTTCTCTCTGATGTTTAATATAATTATATTATTTATAACCAATAGGAAGCCAAAGTTTCAATCTATCAAATGATGTATTATATTACATTGTTTTGTGCACAGATAATTGTCAGTTTCACTTCCAGTTCAAGCTTGATTCCCATGGGAAAGACATTGATAAGCTTAGCTGAATTTCTAGCTGCTCTTGTCAGAATAATTATGATAGTTATGGGACATATTTTGCTTTTTGCATGTTATTATTCTGTGTTCTTTGGAGTATCATTTAATTAAATAAAAAAATATTTATTGCAGTAGTACCATTAGTATAAAAAATAAAGTAGGGTTAAGTGTCATTGACAGTTGACAGCAAAAAAAGATGATGACCCGGGTAAGTATTTTATTTTTGCTTTTCATATTTATTCTTCATGATAAAAGTACATAAGATACACTTGCGAGAAACTTGCCAGTACCTCGTGTGTTAAGTAATTTGAAAGGATAATGTGAGCTGCACATTCACCAAGTAACTTCAAATTTTGTGGGGGGAATATCAGTTTAGACACGGTTCAAAGGGCAATAAAATTGACTGACTTCATATAGAGTTAGGGTAGAGAAAATAATAGATAAAATATAGTTTTTTCTGAAAAAAAACATTTGATATTTATTTAGAGATTTTAGGGATTATGCAAACAAAATTTGAAAGTTTTTAGATGAAGAAAAGTATTCTTAATCTTTACATGAAAATCACTTTGCACTCAGCAGTCAACACTCTTACACTATATAATTAAATAGAAAGTTTTAGTAAAAATATTGAATTAAAAATTATGATTTTTTAGTTTATGAAAAACTTTTAAACCTTACTGAAAGCTTGCCAAGTTTTGTGAATATACAATAGGTACTTTTAGAGTTGTAGTACAAGATGCTGCAAAATACATCCACCTGTTGTGAAAGTGTTAAACTGTATTAGTTCTAACTAATCAGAATTTGCAGCTAAGTTTCTGATTTCTTCTCTCCACTAAACAAGTTGCAATAAATTATAAAATAATATTGTTCTATATGTATGACCATAAACTTACGATTTGTGTGAAGAAGCTGTAGGATTTTTTGCATGAAGATTAAAACAAAATATAGGGCTTGAAACTAATTTTTTTTTCTTGACAAATTACTTTAAAAGCTACTCACACAAGTGGCAAAAGAAAAATAGGTTCTTGAATTGGACACCCTTATTGGATATATCTAGTCAAATGACATGAATTTCCAAGAAACGTTTCATTTTTGATTTCATAATTTTGAACATACTGTCAAATTTTAGATCTGTGTTTTTGATGATAATTCCTAACATTAAACAAAAAAGATGAAACACCACTTGAAGGTACTGTTTTTACTTGCTATTTTAAAATTAGGAGATCCCATTGAAAGATGTGTGAGAATAGTGCACAACAAGCTAACAACTTATCTTGTAATTATCATATAAATGTTGTGCTTGTAGCCAGCTTTTTTATTCTTTTCTGTAATTTGATCTTAGTTTACAACTAATCTAAATATTCATAATTCTGCCTGGATTATCAACTGGCAAAGAAATGCTGGTGTCCCTGATTAAACACTAGAAACCATTGGCTTTTTTTGTGAGCTAGCCATTGCTAATTTCAGGATTAGGTTTATAACTGAAAAAATAGTTAAAGAATTTATTTATAAAAAAAAATTACAAGTTTCTAATGAACTATGTTTTCGGTGTCCAGTAGCATTGATATAAGTGATATGTGCAATATGAATTAAAAGTAATTTTAAATCATTAAAAATATTTTGATTTTGTATTCCACAAAGAATTTGTATAAATAATCAGCCAGGCAATTGCCAGAAGTTTTTCTATTTTATTTTTTCTAAATTCATTTGTGGGTTATTAGGTAACTATTAGTGGGTAGTATTGACACTTTCAGCAAATTTGAACATTTTTTTTTTATAGTAAAATTTTAAATAAAATAATTCAGTGGTTAATTATACCAAGGTGCCTTTAATTAGAACATTTTAATTTCCATTTTGGCTTTTGAAATTTCTACACAATTATTCTTTTTAATAGGATAAAAGGCAAATCATGCTGAACACATTTTATGTTCATTTTAAAGCAGAATAGACTTTTTATTCATTTTATGTCTTTAGCAGCAAATCAGTGGCAAATAACTTACAAAAACCAACGCAAGGTATATTGTTTGCCAGGTTTATTGAATGGTTATCTAATAATTACATGACACAGGCAAGAAATTCATAACATTAACAATTAAGACCTTAAAGCTGGGAAAGCAAGGAATTTCTCCATCTTAATAGTTGGGCAAAGTAATTAATATGGCTAACATGAAATATTTGCTTTAAAAGTTAATATTGAAAGTGAGAATACTGTAGACCTATTATAAATGTCGAGGCCAACATGGAACCTGTACCTTGATAAAATAAATTTTAATTAGATTTTATTTTGTTAGAACATTGTATTTTTATTACACAAAACAAACATGGATTTGAAGAAAGGCATGGCTAACCCTTTTACTTTCATTAATCTAGATTATTACGTTGAGTTTGAGCTGTTTTGATCATGTAAAAACATAAAGTTATAAGAGATCACACCTTTCCCATGCCATCATGAGGTTTATGTTTGATGGTGTTATGTGATCTGAGTCACACAAGTTAATTAAAAAACTCAACTCTTAAGATTAAAGTTTAAAGACTAACAGTAATTATTTTTGATTGTTTTGTCTCTGTCTGCAATATATATATATATCATTGTTTTAAAAATGATTCATTATTCATTACATTCAATTACAAACATTCAAATGAACAGGGCCAGTAAGACTCCAAATGGCCATGCTTATCTGTCCCAGATATTTTTTAATCTTTCTTTGTTGTTTGGTTCCAACTTGTTGTCCTGTTCTGTAACTGAAGACATAAAGAGGTCACTGAAAAACACATTTAATTTTTATATCTACATTTTAAATATTTAATTTTCACCAGAAAATGTACTTACACACTACATGTACCAGCAACTTTAAGCTGTTATGGAAACAACCAAGTCTTTGAACATTTTTGAATTAATAGTTAAAAGGCTGTTTTCTATGTTCTTTAAATTGGTTATTTATAAATTAAAAAAAAGATTTTTGGGTTGAAACTATTTTTAAGAAATATAGTAGAAACAAAATCAACCTATGTTTAATTTTTCACATTTTAAATGGTTTTATAGATTTTATATATATTTTTAAACATATAAACATTTCTTGATCTTTTTTTAAATTCATTTTCATCAATTTCTTTATTTTTTGTTTATATATGTATAAGATGTATCACTAATATCTCATACTGTATACATGCACCATTAAATCCTCTTTATAATCAAAACTTGAAAAAATCACAATGTTTCGATTATTTGGAATCTTTAAGAAAATAATATACTGGAAATTGTATAATCTAAAGCTTAATAGAGTGTAAGAAGAATATTTTCAACTTTTTTTTACATGTAAAAAAAAAGAGTTAAATTGGTATTTAATATTTTGGCTATAACATGTAAGAATATAATTTATTCACAGTTCTGTTTTTATTAGGTATTTATGTCTTTTAAATGTGTATTATCATATTCAGTTTTAATCTTTGTGTTATAGGGAGTTTTTTTATGCATTTATTTAGTTTGAGAAGCATTCTAAGTGAGAGAAATTATGAAATGGAAGAGGAATTTTGAAGTATAACAAAGAAACGAAAAAACAAACACAATATACCATCCTATTTTCAAATGTATCGGTGGACTACCTGCAGTAAACAGTGATAAGTGGCCATATGTCACCAAGAAGAACATAAAAATTAGCTCAATACTTTGGTCAAAACAAGTTATTCAAGTATGCAAAGCTTTCTTTTCAAGATAACTGCTAAACTTTATTTTTAATCATAAATCAACTGTGGCCCGGCATGGGCAGGTGATTAGGGAGCTCGACTCGCAATCTGCGGGTCATGGGTTCGATTCCCCATCCCACCAAACATGCTTGCCCTTTCAGCCAGGGGGGCATTTTAATGTGATGGTCAATCCCACTATTTGTTGGGAAAAAGAGTAGCCCAAGAGTTGGCTGGCTGTAGATGGTGATGACCAGCTGCCTTCCCTCTAGTCTTACACTGCTAAATTAGGGACGGCTAGCAGAGATATCCCTTGTGTAGCTTTGCGCAAAATTCAAACCAAAACATAAATCAAACAATATTTTTCTGAAAAAATTATAATGAAAAGGAGAGATTGCTTTCCTTATGTTAACATAGTTGAAAAAACGATTATGAAAAAAATCAAGGATTTACTATTAAATTTTTCTCTTATTTTGTTTTTAAGTATTCAAAATAAGGATTTTTTTTATCCTATTTTAATAAAGAAAATGTATGCCACATGACTTTAAGAACAGTGAAAACATTTTATGCAATTTAGGGGAAAAAAATCACCTGGTGTGTACATGTATTTCACTTTCTGGTTTTATTCTTTTATTTTAAGATTATTTGGACAATGCCAACTTTTTAATACTGTTTAACATTCTTTAACTGTTTGAGACTTGTGCTATTTTCCATATAAATTTGTATATTTTTAATGACAATAAAGATTTTGTTTTAACATTAGTGAATGATTTTTTTTTCTTTCCAGAATTTGAGCCTTTTGATTTGGAGTTATTCTGGGGCCAGCGGGTTATCCAAAGCATTACTCAATCAACGTAGCATTAGCTGATAGTGACTTGAGATTATCTTTAGTTTTACAACTGACATTGTGAGATAATAGGGGATGTACTAAGCAGTAAATTATAGCATTCCAGTGATGCTGTGCTTGGTACAGCAACAAAAAATCCCCCCCCCCCCCACAGCAATTTATTCTTTTGCATTTCAACCATGGATACTTGTTCATCATATGATTTTAAAGTTTGATCTTAGTGGATTATTATATACTGTTTCATACAGCAGTATGTGTTATAAGATTACAGTTCTGCAGGAAATCTTTATATTTTTTGTATAAATGAATCAGACATGTAGAATTCTTATGTATAGTCGAAATACATATGTAGATTTTTTCATGATAGATGCTATAAAGATGATTAATATACTTTGTGTATTTCATTTCATTTTACAAGGATACATTTTCAGTGAACATCACCTCACAGATTCTGTGTATTTAGTTTATGTGGTTGTGATCTTTTTTTAAGATGTGTATATTCTCATAGAGTACTTTATGAAGAAAATATATGCTTCTTGATGATGTTTATACTTCTCATGTCTAAAATCCACCAAATTCCTTGCATTCTCTCAGAAAAAAAAATTGATGTATGATCCTACTCAGCATAAATTTTGTAAATAATTGGAAAATTCATTATATT